CTGCCGAGTACTTTTATTTTATTTTATTTTATATTACGCACGTCCTAACAATCACAAACTAATAGAATATATGTCCGAAATATATACACATTAGACAAAAATATCCTCGCTTTTCAAAAAAAAAAGTGTGAACTTTTGCTTAAAGACAAAATACCCACCATTAACTTATCCTTCCATGCAAATTGACGAATTAGATCGAAATCGTCGAGTTGGAGCACTAATTATTGGTTCGGGACAAGAAGAACTTGGTTCACAAGCTTGGCTCTTTTATTTTGAATTGCTCCATTCCTTTTATCTCTTTTCTCACTGAATCAGACGAATCCTTGATTAAAAAGACTAAAAGATTGTGCCGTTTTTTTTATTTATTTATTTGTGCTAAACGACTTCATTTCGCCTTGCCGAGGTGTCTACTGTATGTGTCGGTCGGTTTCCCGCATTTTGGTGTCAACTGCATGAATAAAAATCATAACGGTGAAAGCTTCTATTCCTTGAAAAATTGGTATATTTTTTAGGTCCTCGAATATGCGTACTTGCAATTTTATCCAATTTTTTATTACGTAGCTTGTCTTCTTTTATTTATTTTTTTCTTTTGTTATTCTGTACTTTATTGTTGTTGGCCAACTACGAATACGTTTTGAATTAAGAGTTGGTAGGGATGGCATCACTAGCCGATCTAATTGGATTTTCATAAATAGATACTTAACCAAATGCTACGCACTTGTTAGGCAATCGGTAGTAAAAAGCTGCCCTTTTCGAAGTATTTGTTTCTCTTAAGCTATGCAATACTCATGCTTTGAATCCAACATTCGGTTGCAAGCAAGACAATTGTCTAGAGACAGTGTTATCTTGGGCGAGCCAATACGCATGACTTATTAATTATAACTTGTCGATAAGTTTACATTCGATGAACGCGTAAGAAAGTAAATGCTATTTTCATAAATGCGATCTAAGAGCTTCATAATATTGGATGTTAACGAGAAAAAATGCGAATTTCTTCTATCATGATGACTGACGAAATTAGGCTTAAGTAGTTTCCATGAGGATGAGTATGATAAAAAAAAATTAAAATCTAGTTTACTTTGCTAGCCTAACTCATATGTGAAAGTGTAGTTTTGCTATCAACGGGAATAGTATACGGCCTAGAATTTCATCTAGCAACTAGCTGATTCAAGTCTTTGGATTAACTCTCTGACAAGGGAGGGGAGAAAATGGAGAAAGCAAGCAAAATTGGTTACCTTGTCATGAGAATCTGCTTCAGATTTAAAGTGGAACCTCGTTTGGAGATGGAAAATCCGTACATGCTAGCGATATTCAACTTCAAATTTGGAAAAAATTTTCCTCTTTTAGCATTTTTATACCCAACAAGGGCTATAGTTCAGGAACTCTCGAAACATAATGGGGGTAATCAATAACACGATCCTAAATACAGAGTTGAAGAAACATGAATATGAACAAAAGTAAGTTATCGTGATTCGTAAACCGAGTTCAACTTAACCAAAATATCATACTCTCACTTAGAAAACTTGTCAGGTTTTGTGCTCGAGCAGGTCCTTAAACATGTTTGGCTTTGTCCATGAGTCCACGACGAATCTATTCTACACCATCCTATATTTATCAATATTCTTTACCAATTACACCCTTAGCATGTGTGCCAATTGAAAAAAAGAAAGAAAAAGAAAGACGATCTTGCCACGCGGCAAGAATATTGAGAAATGATTCGACAAAACATTAGAAAATATGGAAAAGAACACAGCTCACCGGTCGCAAAATGTGGAATGATTTACCCCATTTTACTTAAACATATGGTCTTCCTAGTACGGGCTGCATAGGATTTTGATTGTCTATATTTTCAAAAAAAAAAGTTTAATTACATGTAAAACGAGAGGAATAGCTAAACAAACTTTTTTCTTAACCTTAACAAGAATCTTGAACACGTAACAAAGCGTGTTCCAGCTCACGATCTCACCAGCATCTACTTTTTGTCTTTGTAGAATTATAGGCAAACTCGGTCTACGCGACTTCTGTTGTCAATGACTTTCTGCATGGAATCATGCTTGGTAGCGGGGATTATGAGTGATCATAAACTGCTCCAAAGGCTCCGAGGAAAAGGCTTCTGTATCACGCTTAAGCATGTTAAAGGGATCACATTTTGATAATGCTGACTTGCTTGCAAACCTTGCTACGCACATCTCTGCGCTTGCATTCTGCTTATTATTTAGCTACGGTGCTGGGTCTCTTGGTTCCCTTCTTTACATAAGTATGCTTGGGAGAAAGATGGCACTAAGGGGATGATGAAGTATGTAATTGGTCTTCTGTTTTTTACTCTACATTGAGCTATACTTGATGGAGAATATCGTTAAGACGCAGTGCGTTTGAGCTAATCCAAGCCTATGGATTGAGATTCACTGACAAAGGGAAAAGGGAGAAAAATCGAGTAAGCAAGCAAAAATATGGAGATAATATCGAGGGAAAACCCGAAGATCAAAGTTCATCGGCAAAAAAAAAAAAATTCAATGTTTGCTGAATAAATATGCATTCCGATGCCCCCACACCTAAGAAAAAGATTATCTTTTGTCACGAGAGCCAATTTGTGCTAATCTAATACATGTATACCCAGAGGAAGAAAGAAACGCGCATCCTTTGCTCAGCGAGCGCACACACAGATGTCTTCTTCTATGAAAAACTAGCTCCTAGCTCACATGGAAGTTTTGCAGTAAAATTCGTTACCTTGTCATGAGAATCTTCTTCAGATTCAGAGTGGAACCTCCATTGGAAATGGAGAATCGATACGTGCCAGGGATATTCAACACATGACTTACCACTCACAGATAGGAGAGCTAAAGTGCAATTTCTCTGTTTTTTCTTTTAACTCAGTGGTCTGGTAAATCCTTAGAGATAAAAGGAGCAATTATAATCACAAGCCTTAAACTTTTGATAGCGACATGTCGAAACTAATTATAGAAAAAACATGTGTAATCAAAAGTAAAACGAACATCTTGTATCAGGGTTATGGAATAAAGTTGCAGAATTCAAAAAATCTTTCCCCATGCAGTGTGGATGAGGCTCCCGGGCTACCAAGAAATCGACTCTTAGAACATTGACTTTGACCAGGTAGCTTTACCTCAAGCCGTCGTTTGGCACGTTCTCTTGCTCTCTTCGATATTTTCAACTCTTGAAGCGAGAATGGTCGTCACTGGGTTGCCTATGAATCATTGAAACAGAAATTTTACTGCCAAATGCCAACGCAAGACAGAACTCCTAAAAGGAAGTAAATGTACTCCATTTATCAACACATCGAAGTTATACCAAAGTTCTGACCAAAAAAAATAAAAAAAAGAAGTTATACCAAAGTAAAAATTTCCAGGCAACTCTTGTGAATTGCCATGCACAGACAAGCAAATATTATTAAATTTTAATAGTGACCTGGTTTGGATTCTATTCCACCACAACAAATCGACAACTGAATGGAGTCAAAAGACCCACCTGCAACGCAAACGTCTGCAAACAGGGACATTGCCTTGATTAAGAGAGATAGTGGAAGGGGACTATCATCTTCATATGCTACATGGCTGACCTCCAATTGCTTGACACTGAATAATTCAGGCAGAAGATGAGACCTTAGGCATCCCAACCGAATCAAATGCAGGCAATGCAGCATCATTAGGGAGGAGGGTGACAGAAAACAAATGAATAAAAATAAAGTCTGAAACTAGATATTAGTTGATGTTTACACATAGTGGATAAGAAAATTCACAGTTTGAGAATCTGCAAACGAGAAAGACACGTTGAAACCCGAGACAGGATCACATGCACTCGTTCCATATTCTCTAACCAATGCAAAGCTCAACTAGCGGAATTTCTTTTGATGTAGAGGCCTTCAAAATATCTAAAGCCAACAGAGCTCAAACTAAGATTATTGAGACCTGAATCCCACAGTGAGCCTCTGCATCAGCATCTACAATTACCTCGTGACCCAATAGATAAGGTGATCGACTAGGGCATGAAGAGCAGGGATCCGGAGAATACCTGGGAATCAAATTTAGTTCAAGCACCTTAACTTGCTTCGACAGTGCAAACTCAATCCGCCGGTTGATGCAAGACTAAAATCCGACATTCAGGTGAAAGGACAACCTAGATCTATGTGAAAGGTGGTGTCCTCTGTAATTATTCTACTGTTACAAAACATTATCCACCCACTCCATATATCTCACCCTCGCGAATCCAGATTAGCTCTCATCTCATGGAATGAATTAGAGCCCATCCATATTAAGGTCAGTCACCAGAGTCCGCAATTAGTTGCTTTTGCTTCTATAAATGTCAATATAAATGGTATAAGACTCATAATTTCATCCGGCAGACAACTGATTCAATCCTTTGAATTGGGATTCAATTCCTCCAGAAAAAGAAGAAGTCAAAGAAAAATCTCCACTTTCACACCGCAATGGCAAAGAGATTACTGAATTCAGGGAGAAAAAACCATTCTTTTTGCTCCATCAGACAAGATATCCAACCCAAATTTTCCCAGTATGCTAATCTAAGGCGCAGCGAAATTCAAAAACATCTCTAAAAAAGAATGAAAGAACTCGGGGACAATAGAAGAGAAAAAGGCAAGACCAACTCTCGAAAGATGAAAGAAAGAAAGTGGTATCCTTTGCTTATCTAGCCAGAGACAGAGAGAGGGTTTCTTCTCCTGAACAACTAGTTGCAAGCTCAAAAAACGAATCTTTATACGGGCAAATTGGTTACCTAGTGGTCTCTGAATTCGGATCTAGAGCGAAGCGTGCATGGAGAACGCTAGTGGAAGAAAGAACTTGCAAAGATAAGATATGGGTTGTCCGTGTGCATTGCCACGCATCCATCCAATAGATGCTAATCACGTGACGTCACAATGAATATACATATATATATTCGTATATAATATAATATATTTACTTATTAATTTATTGGAATATATATATATATATATATATATATATATATATATATATATATATATATATCGGAGCCCTACATGTGAAATCTATCGGGAAGCTGAATTTGGCCGAAACTGAAGCTGAATTTCGCGATCGTCGATGGATTCTCCGTCTCCAAAGAGGCCCCACGCTGAATTTGAATCCCAATCCGACGACAAGGTAAAGAATTCGCCTAAAGTTTCGATTTTTTTGAGCTCGGAACTTGTTCTTCACGGTAGGATACACCTCTCTCTGCTCGCTGAGGGGAGGGATGCACGTTTCTTTTCCTTGTGGCTATGCCCGTCGTAGATCATTGAAAATCTTCAGTTGAATGTACTGGCTGATTGGGGCAGCGGTTGTGTAAATTAGAATGTACGTTATCTCGTCACCGAAGCTTAGATATCCGAGGTCTTTTAGCTGCTTTTGCCATGGATTCGGTGTTGTTGTGCCAAAGTTGAGTTTTTTTTTTTTCGATTTTTGATGTTGAATGTTCCCTGCTCTGCTTTCCCTCATTCTTATTTCCAGATTTTTCTTACTTGGTTTGTTTTTTTCTTCTGGCGAAACTCAATCTAGGATCGGATCAGCTGTTTGCCCGAAGAAGTTATAGGCCGTATATTATCTCGATTGACATTTAGAGAAGCACAAGCGATTTGTGTTCTTTCCGGGAGATGGAGGCACTTGTGTACTTCTCTGGTCACCGACCTTGATTTGGACCGGTTGGACTTATCGGAGAAGATGGAAGATAAACCCGAATTGGCAGAAAAGGAGAGGGCGAGATACGTGGAATGGGTGGACAATGTCGTGCATCGTCAAAGTGGAGGAGATCACGCTTTACGTAGATTTGCGTTACGCTTTGACCTGAATATGTCATATAAGTCTCGCATCGATCGGTGGATTAGGTTTGCATTGGCAAAGCAAGTTAAAGTTCTCGAACTAGATTTCCGGCCCGTGTCTACGGAGGATTTGCTGGGTGGTTGCTTGCCATATTTGTTAGGGCATGAGACACTTATGGATGCTGATGTTAGGTGTCCACACTTGGGCCCTTCTATATCTTGGCATGTTGGATTTACGTATCTTGAAGAGCTATACTTGAAGAGAGTAATTGTGGATGGAGAATTCATTGAGCAACTGCTTGCCAATTGTCCGGTTCTAGAGCGATTGACATTGAATGACGCTCGTACTTTGAATAGGCTTAGAGTTTCTGGCCAATCACTTAAACTGAAATACATGCGCATAGCATGTTGTGACGATCTTGAACATGTTAGGATTTACGACACGAATCTTGTGTCCTTCACTTTCGTGGGACGGCAATGTCTATTGCGTTTGAACAAGCTCCCCCAGCTATCTGAGGTGTCTATGGATGGATGTCTATTGAAGCTTGTGCATGAATGGTTGCCTAAGCTTTCAAGTCTTCCTTTTCTGCAGATTCTCAAACTTGAATTTATATATTCACGTAGAGTAAGAGCCCTGACTGATTTTCATAAGGTTTCGTTACTTAATTCTTTTTACAATCTATGTTGTCTTTGATTCTCTCTCTTCCTAATCTGCAGTATCACCAGCGTATTCCTCATCAACTACCTAAATTGACAAGTGTCAAGCAATTGCAACTGAGAGTTAAAGGAACCGGAGATTTGAGTCTACTTCCGTTGACTGTCGTGATCGAGGCATGTCCCTACTTGCGGAGTTTTGTGTTTGAGGTGGGTTTTCGGGCCTCATTCAAGTTTTCATCTATTTAGGCATTAGATAGATGCAGTAAAATCGAATATGATAAACCAAATCACTGTTGAATCCTATCGGAGTCTCTGCTTATGGTTGAGTTGTTGGGTCATCATGTGATTAGTATCTGCTTGATGTGACAATCCACACAGACATACTTTCTTTTGCAAGTTCTTTTTTCCATCGGCATTTTCCAATGCATCGATATCTTGGGGTGATTAATAATATGCGGCATTCTTCTTTTGCCACAGTTGACAGACCCATGGTGGATACCAAACGGGGAGGGAAGAGAACTGGAAAGAGTTGTTAGACCTCTCCATCGATACCTAAAGGAGGTTGCATTTTACAATTATTATGGCCGACCTTGTGATCTCGAACTAGTGACTTACCTTATCGCGAGTGCCATTGCTCTTGAGAAGTTAGTGGTGAATACCTGTGACAAAGAATATGTCTCGGGCGAATGGAAAAAGTTGAAAGAACCTAGAGAACGGGCTTTGCAACAACTCAAGGGAAAGGTACCTTTAAAGATTGATCTGGTTATTAATTAACGAAACCCGAGCCTCGTGGTATTCATAGAGGTGATACGGATGGCTATTATTTTGCAACCTACTCCTCTTCCCCTTTTCAAGGTTCTCCTTTTTTTGTTACTGCGGATATAGTTTGTTTATTTCCTGATTTTATTTTGGGTTTATAAGTTATGTAATGACTCAAAGGCCATGAATAATGGATGTTCCTGCATTTCTCTAAGTCATTTTAATCCGGAATGGAGAAAAGCTCAAAGAGCTCAGGGGCTGCAAAACGTGAAATGATTAACCCCATTTTACGTCCATATATAGTCTCCCCAATTCTTGTTGTACCGCTAAAAAACTGCATATATATATGTATATATATAGTAAAGGATTTTAAATGTCTCGATTTCCAAAAAGAAAAAGAAAAGAAAAGACCAATTATATGTAAAACGAGAGAAATAGCTAGAACAATTTCTTTTTATCCTTAACAAGCATGTTTAACACATAACGAATCATGCACAAGTTCGAAAATCTCATAAATATTTACTTTTCGTCTTTGTGGAATTATAGGTGAATGACTTTCCGCATGGAATCATACTTAGAAGTGGTGCCTATCAAAAATAAAACAGAATAAAAAAAAGAATTCTTAGTGGCGGGAGGCTTGTGTATCCTGCTTAGACGTAATCAACCACCGAATAATCACTAGTTAATCTCCTGTTCACATTAAGTGATGTCATGACATGTGAAGATGATCTCCAATATATTATATATGTATAGGATGATTGAGATATTATCCAAGTACGGTGTCTTGGGCATAGCTTTAATTATTGCAAAAATCTAACACTGGATCGAAATTGAGTTGACATTCAGTCTACTCTAATTATGACCGAGACAAACAAAAGAAGACAATTCGAAAGCGGGAGCCATGCTTCTCAGTTTAATAAATCAAAAGGTCCGTCCGCTCTTACATACCAAGAACACCAATTCTTAAATCGTCAAGTCCCATTTGAAGCCTGTGTTTTATCCAAAGCTCGACACGTGCAAAGTTTCAATGCTTCCAGTTCACATCCAAATTCTGATTTTTTGCAAACAAAATTGAAATTCTAATGTCATTGACTCATAAGCAAGCGCAAGAGCAATTAAATTTGGGTGCCCGAAATCAAATGTGGGGGTCCAACCTGACCCATCCTGTGCAGCTATCGGATCAAATCACCGGCTCCAATTCACACTAAATGGAACACATTCTCTTTTTTTGTTTCGGTAAAGGAATTTCTTCGGGCGCGAAGCCATTATTTCTGAACTCATCTCTCTCTCACACAGACATTCCCAATCCCAACAGTCACTTGGTTCATTCATTTACTTCTCTCTTCGTCAATATTTGCTCGTGCTTTGATTTGATTTGCTCGTCCCAAAATTCTCAGTTTGAGAATTTACAGACGAGAAAGACAAATTGAAACCCGAGACATGATCACATGCACGCGTTCCAAACTCTCTAGCCAATGCAAAGCTCAACTAGTAGGGGACATTGTCCATACCCAGCGAAATTCTTATCCCAAGGAAAGCGAAGGAGATGAGATTTGCATCGTAAACACCGAGGCACCTAAGGTGCGACAACTTTGTACCGAGCAAGTGTTTCGGCTTAAGTGATTGGCCAGAAAATGTCAAACTCTCCCAAGATTTTCAAATGCAGTCACTCCAAAACTGGACAATTGGCAACCAATTGCTCTGTGAATGCTCCCTTAACACTTGAGCCTTTCATGTAGAGGTCTTCAAAATACCTAAAGCCAACAGGGCTTAAAGTAAGATTATTGAGGCCCATATCCCACAGTGAACCCTCTGCATCAGCATCTTCAAGCACGTCCCACCCCCCTAAATAGGGTGATCAACTAGGGTACGAAGAGAGATTCAGAGGACACCTGGGAATCAAATTTAGTTCGATCACCTTAACTTGCTTCCACAGTGAAGACTTAATCCGCTAATCGATTCAAGGCCGAAATTCGACATGGTGAAAGGACAACCTAAATCTATGCGAAGAGTGGTGTCCTCTATATCTATCGTACTACCGCAAAACATTATCTGCTCACTCCCCATATCTCACCCTCGTTCGATCGGATTTGTCTCTTATCTCGTGAAATAAACCAGAGCCATCGAAGTCAAGGTCGACCAGAGTCCACAACAAATACTTGCAAGTGTTCATGGAAACATTATAAGACCTATAACGTCGTCCAGCACAAAACTGGCTCAATCCTTTGTATTAAGATTCAATTCCCCCAGCAAAAAAGAGAAAAAAAAAACAGAGATTTTAAACGAAAATCTCAACATTCACACAGCAAGGAAAATAAAATACTGAATTCGGGGAAAAAACCATTCTTTTTGCTCCATTTAATAAGATATCCACAAACCGAAATTCTTCCCAGTATAGTAATATGAGGCGCAGCAAAATTCAAAAACATTTAAAATAATTAAAGAACTTTGGTACAATAAAGTTTTTTTTTCGTTCAAACTTTCAAATTTTCTTCTGAACGTCTCCTATTTTGATTGAGAAAGCAGCAAACCCAGCAAGCTCTCCGATCAGTAGGGCACCCTGGGCTGCGGAGGCGGTCGACCTTAAATTAATTAGGGACACCGCCCTGCCAGTGCCAGCCCAAGAAATCTTCAGATAAGGCTAGCAAGCCGTGGTGGGATGGAAGATTGCTTTTCTCATTCGTTCATGTTGGAAATTTTATTAGATAATATGAAAAATAAAAATTATTAGAAATCAACAGAAAATTGCAGAGAGCAAGAGATAACAGAAAAATAACGAAGTTCAATGCTTAATAATCTGGGCATATTGGGCGGATAGATGATCTCTTTTTAATGCGAGTCTAAATAGGAAATTGTATGCTGTAAATTGACTGTGAGAGAGTTTCGACAAATGGATGCATTCAAATTAGAAAAGATAAAATGCTTATTCAAGCCCAAGTGTCAAGGACGGGAGGTTTCAAGACCTACCCGGCCCAAGAGTCATTGAAGACTTTGGACCCTAGAGGTTTCACGAGGATTCTAGAATACTCCTAAAGACAATATGGGAAATATATATAGTTGGAGAGAGTGGATTTCCACCGTTTGATTAAAGGATGATCAAAGGTAGTAATTGACAAGGTTCATATATAAATAGAGTGTTCTCTCCCTCATTTGTATCATTTAACATTTGAGCAATAGAAAGTGCATCATTTGTCAAAGCCTTTTTCTATCCAACTAGTTAAGAACAAATAAAACTCTAAAAAGACATTTAAACTCGAAATTTAACGAAAAACCTACTTGAATCCATGGTTTAGGAGAGCCGCTCCAGGTATCAACCATCACACCACTTGCGTACTCGCGTTGGAGGAAGCTCGTACAGTCCCCTGACCAATACAAGTAGTTAAGAAAAGATAAAATTCTATAAAGACATTTAAACGCGAAATATAGCTAAAAGCCTACCTGAATCTATGATTGAGGAGAGCCCTCCCCATGTCTGCAGCAAGGACTTGTCCTTGCACTTGATCTCAACTCGACGGAGGCAGCCGTGGTCGTCAATTTGCTCAAGAAGCAGGAGGACAGCGTCCACATGCTTCATGTCGTACAGGTAGACGCATTCCTTGGACAAAATACTGTCCAACACCCTATCCAAATTCCATTCAGCCTTACGGAGACTTGCCTTTGCGGCACGAAACAAGTATGGCCTGAAACAGACAAAACACACATGAAATGGTAATCTCTGATTTAAAAGTTCATGGTAGATTAAGACTTACATCCTCCGATGATTGTTGGCTTACCTATTGACTAGCGCATGGGTCGCTCCTCGATGGACCTTTGCTGGGAGGCGAGTGGACGCTGGGAGGTGAGTTTGCGTGGCAAGACGAGAGACCTGGTTTGCAAAAAGAAAGAGCATAGTAAATCAAATAATTGCAATAAGCGCTCTAACCCTATCATTGAAGCTGCAACAGTATCAAACATTTGCTCTACGAACGTATATAACCCTAATAATGCTAGATATGCATGGAAAAATGCAGTTGCTCAAAAATCGACTACCTCTAATCTGCATTCCGTTGTGTATATAAGTCTGAGCCAAACGGCATCTTTTACAATAGAAGGATAAATTTATGCTCTCTTTTGTCTCCAGCTGTTTACCATTCTTGAGCCTTTCACCTTGAGGTTTGGTCATAAATGACCAAACCACAAGGCCAAAAAAAAAAAAAACTACTATAGTCAGATCGCTTATCTTATAACTGTCTAGTGTTTTGTAATCCAATCCGAGCATTTCGGGATTAGATTGGAGTTCTGCAATCCAATCAAAGCATTTCGGGATTAGATTGGATTGTGAGCTTTCCGATGAAAAAATAATCAAGTCAATTAGATAATGGATGAAAAAGTTATCAATAGTCAAATTTTGGTCAACAACAAACATGTCATTTTCTATCATTTTCTCTCTACATAAGTTAACAGCTCAATCACTCTGCACGGCACTTTCTCGAGCGCACCGTATAGCCATCCGCAATCCTCATTTTTCTTTTCCACGGTTCTCTCTTCATCTTTGAAACCTTAACACAATCACTTTGCCATGGCACTTTTTCTCTTCATAGGTACATATATGAGATCAGAGAATAGGTGACTTTATTGTTCAATTAGCTCGAAAATCATATTTTCGACAATCGAGTGACTGCAGTCATCAATGTAAAATCAAATCACATTTCAAAAAGATTGGATTGCAAGTTTTTTGTTGACAAAATAATCAAGTCAATTGGACAAGGTAAATTTGTCTGAATCAGGAGACAATGTCGTTTTACGCAGGAGTAGAATCGGTAACCGTATCACATCGAAGGACAAGATGGAGGTATATGGGTTCGTGCCGTATCTTAAAGACAAGCTCAAGCAGAGCGTGAAACTGGTCCATCCAAGAAAGAAGCCGCGACCGACAAGAAGGACAAGCCCCCACTACTGCTAGCAATGGAGGTAGAGAAAAAAAAAAAAAGAGAAGGAAGGTAATGTAGTCGACATAGAGGTGAACAAAATGCCATACGGCGAATATTCGCCGCCGCCAATGACGACGTATTGGAAATACGCATTGAGGTATGGTGCCGGGCCAGCTACGCCACGCAGCCTGATCAGAGTCACCACGTGGAGTCATATTACCACGGAGGGTACCCTAGTCAAGTACATTTGCGATGCATGCACGTGATGTTTTATCACGGAATTATAGGATATGTTTGATCACATTTCAAAGAA